GACTCAGGCATAGAATTAAGCAAAATAATGACCTTATAGGTTTTAGACACTTTCTCATCACAGTTAACGATGTCTTGCACCAACTTGTTAAAAACATCCAAATTTTCATCTAGATCCTTTGAAGGATCCATTTTAAAGCTAAAAAATCTTTCAAACAAGTACAACTTATTAGGAGTAGATTTAAACAAATATAAATCCTCCAACTTTTTCCAAAGCTCTTTGGTAGAATCGAGTTTTCCAACATTTCTCAAAACAGTATCAGACAGATGTAAAATGATAGAAGTGTATGCAAGTTCATCATATTCTTCCTTGTGTGCTTCTGTAAAATTTTCCGAAAATTTGCCATCAATGGCTTTTGAAACTTTTTGTTGAACCAAAATACCCTTCATCTTTTGTTGCCAAATTGAAAAATCCCCTTTTCCGTTGAAAATCCCAATTTAGAAATATGACGACATTTTAAAAAATAGAACAACCAAAATTGTACAAATAGATCACACAAAGTAATCCTAGGTAGCAATATACACTGTTCTAAATTCTCAGGGTTTCGTGAGACTCAAAATCTCATATCAAGGGAACGTTCGAACGGGTCAAATCCAAGGTGTTCTAACAGGATAATCAATGCAATATGAAGATAAACAAGCAAACAAATTCAAAAAATTTCACGCAATGTAGTCTCACACAATGACTAAACAACAGTTATAGCACAAAAATAATTCCCAACTTGCAGTCAAAATTCAACACTTCAAATAAAGCAATTAATTCCTAAATTTCTAGCACAAGCAATGGTTACCCCTTCAAGGTAACCCCAATTCTAATGTCACCCCACACGATGACGCGCTAATGCTGAAATTTAAACAGGATAAGCCAATTTACCAGAGTGGACTTATCTGAGTCCGTAAATTTAGAAGAATATAATTTTAACACTTTAGGGACACCACTATTCGCCCTAAAGTTTGCAGCAACCAATTGAATGCAAAACAGAATTCCGAATGCGCAGGGGCAAAATGGACCAACTTTTTCTGCGTAACCTAAAACAGTAAACCAAATATATCAATACGTTCAGAAAATCAAATATAACAAACTGCCTGAAGAAATCGTTTTCAGAAGAGCCTCCACGCTCCTCGCCGGGGTTCCCCACGCGCCGCCGCCGTCCAGACACGCCAGCCACTCAGTACTTCCTCGACCTGTACGTTCCAATGGTGGTCACCGTTTGTCCAGACAACCACTGGTTTGGCCGGAATTTGAGTTTGCAGTTGCGGCTTTCGCCCAAAAATCTGGGCAGTTTCGGTTCTGCTTTTCTGCCGGTTTCAGCTCCATTTTTCTACTGATTTCCGACCTTGAAAACACCCCAATCTCGCTCTGATACCATATGTTAGAATTTGGGTCTTCAATCAACCAATTTTCGGGCTCAGAAAACAACCAAACGACACCACAC